GGGCGGCCTCGTGCAGCATTTGCAGGGTGCAGCGTCAGCCCTGTCCCCTGGCCAAGGGCCTGTTGCATGGCATTTGCCATTTCACTTATCTACATCCTGAGTGTCACTCAAGTTTCAGGGAGGAAGCAGTCAGGTTCTCAGTTAGCTGTAAAAGTGCTGCTGTTCATCCGCGTGGAGGGTGCTGCCACCACAGCAGCGCAAGACCATCGGAAAACAAAGTTCACAGCTAAAAATACCAGCTCCTACACTTGGAAAAAGTAGACGAGCCCCAGGAACAAAAGCCACAGCTCTGCCTCAGGTCAGATTCAGGTCTCCGCACTCTGAGGTTTATTTGCTTTTTCCAGTGATAGGTGTTGAGGCAATGGCTACAAATTCCATTTTAGGGAGCCTACAGAGCAGCATGTGTCAGCAAAACTTCACTAAATGAATTGCAGATGCTCTGTGGCATCTGGCGGTTACGTGGTGGAAAGCTGAACTTCCACTTGGGTTCGGTTTTACAGGACGGATGCCGATCTGCTCCCTTATCAGCTCAGCAGCTTATTATAGCTGCGTACAGATAGCATGTGCAGAGCATGCACATGCCGAGAGATAGTTGCATGCCATGGAGTGGAATAACCAGGCAAACTGTTATCCTCAGCTCAGCAGAAAATGAAGTCAAATCTTCTAAAAATCTTTGAAAAAGCATTACCAGTGGTTGAATCGTGTTTCGTGGAAAAGCCAAACTGTAAGAATGCTGGTTCTCTTATTTGTATCACTGTTACAAATAACTGGGCCCCATCGCCATTGGTGCTGCACAAAGAGATGTTCCCTGCTCTTGGAGGAAGACCGGCTGCGATTCCTTGTCTGTCCTCCCTGGCTGTACCTGTCTGGGGCAGCTGGAAGGGGACTGGCAGCGGCCGATGCCCAATGGTGTCTTGTATGTGCAAGCTCATGCACCTTCCACACATCTTGCAATGCGCTGTGGGGCACTAACCAGCTGCATCTGTCTTTTTTGGTGCTTCCAAACAAGCAACCCTCCAAGATCACCCTTCTACCTGAAAGGAGCCATCTGTACCCATCGTTGCCTTTGTAGGGATGTTCCTAAAGAACACCCTGCACAGAGAAACATCTATCTCTCTCTCTCTCTCCATTTTACCCCCAAATAATAATAAAAACCTCAAATAAAAGTGTCTGCCAGAACTGTCCTTTTCTGGTCCTTCTCCAGCACTCTGCTGTACTGTCTGCTGCCTCATGCCATAGGCCATGATAACTCATTCTCTTTCTTTGCATTATTTAACACTTGGGAACATGGGTCGTGCAAGAAGAAATGCTTCCCTGTGGGATGGCTGCATCCCTCTGCTTGGCCACCCGGGGTTCCCTCGCAGCACGCGGCAGAACCACGTTCAGTTTGTGAATCTCTGTTATTGTGGCTTCAAGCAAACAATGGAGGCCTGATGTTACAGGCTGGTGGGACTCGAGTGCGACATGGTACAGGGGAAATGTCCGTTCCCATTTCAATCTCTGGGAATCAGTTCAGCCTGGAGAACAGTCCTTGTACCAGTCCCAGGCGCTTCAGAGGAGTTCATGCGCACACCAAGCTCTTTATTTTCAGAGACAGATTATTTCACATGGAAAAGAGAACTGATTATTTTGACACCAAGCTGTTTTCTTGAAAGTTTTCTGGTGGCTTGACAAACGTTCATCTTTCAATCTATCACTAGGTTTCAGGCGTATCTTTTATCACAGAGGTGGGAAGCACAAGTGTGTATGTGTCACTTTGCATTTTCACAAAGGTATGCTCATAGGGGTTTCCTCTGCCCTCCTTTCCGTCCTAAACTATCAGTAGCTCTGCAGGTCCTCTTCTGATCACAGCCTCATACTTGTAAATCCTAGAAACAATTTTTCTGTTTTGGCATGTATGAGAATTTCCTGCATTTAGTTACTGGAAATGGAAAATAGCCTCAGGGGAGTTAGAGAGATGGGTGACAGAGATGGGGAGGTGGGATCCTGGACATCCTCTGCTGGATTACGTGAGGAGGTCACGCCTCGGGGACAGGGTCTTACAGACATCCAGCAAAAGGATATGTATGTTGACCTGGAGGCCTGACCTGGCTTGCACACAAGCCCCTCATGGCTTTTTCACTGCCAGCTTTAGCCCATTGACCTGCAGGAGAAGGTTGCTGGCTTTGGGCACCAATGATGTGCTTGCATGCTTCAACCATGTTTTTAAAAAAAACCAGAGTTTATGTTCTAAATCCTACATTTTGAAGAGCCAAGGATTTAGATGGGATGTCTAAGCCAAGCGTCCCGAACTCCTAGTCAAACAGATGATACGGGACACCATCTGTGTCAGTCTGAAACTGCACCTAGATCACAATCAGTGAAGACGCATTTGAAGCAACTTTTGATGTAATCTTTCAAAAAAGAAAAAAACCCAAACTATCACCCACAAAAAAAAAACCATGGAGGAGCTGCTGACGCAAAACTCCACGGTATTTAAATGCAGCTTGGCTGTCCACATCTACACCACTCCAGGCAACCAGCAGCTTGAACACCAACATCCGGCAAGCTTTCAGCCAAGTCAGCTGCTCTCCAAGCCCGCCATGAAACGCCAAGCAGGTGGGTGCAACTTAACCTTGCTACATGTTGTAAGATTGCATTGGTTGATGTTCATCACTAGCTCAGCCACTTAATATCGATACGCTTTAGAAATTTATCATGCTGCACAAAACCAGGAAGTTTTGCAAAAATGATGTAGAGGCTTGAGACTAATCATTGTATTCTTTGTTTGTTTTTTTTTGTTCTTTCCCCTCTTCATTTGAATGCAGAGATCAACAGGTTTGCAATCTTCCTCTTCTGTTCACTGGTTCCTTTGGGCTCCTTGGCACCAACAGCCACCTCAGAAGAAAGCAAATCTACTACAGGACAGAGACAGAAGCGTTTTATTACCAGAATAAAGCCCTTAGCATCAGTGATAGAAAAGCAAGTGACTGACTTGTTTAAAAACTACGTAAGTGTACTGTTTTGCATTTGCTGTGCCTATGTCTGTGGAGGAATCTCTTGAATTATTATAAAACACTAGAAATACCACCAGGAAAGAAATATTTGGGTTAGAACCTAAAATAGTCTCTTCTCTGTATTCCATGCAAGAAGGAAAGCATTTACATTGCATTATTTTAAGGCAGAGTTGGAGCAACATCTAGGACAGCTGGGGAAAGCTTGGGCAACTGTACCTCAGCTAACTGCTAGCTGTGAACTTCCAGACTAAATGCATTGCTCTTTCTCGGTCTCCCGAGTCACGCTAGGCTTGAAGCAGGCATCTTTTTGGATGAAACTAGTCAGATCACTGGAAAAAAGGAGAGAATTGCCTTGCTCTTCGGTCTGATCCTACTACTAGAGCATTCAGGAGCACTTCTGCCGAAAATCCTGCTCAGTCTGCCGTTCCTTGGAGATGGTAAAATGTGCACTGAACCTAAGTGTCAATATTTCAGACAAATTTCAATTCCTGGGAATGTGTTCCTAAGAGTACATTGATAAAAATCAATGTAAACATTTCCCCTGAATTCATTCTTGAAATGAAAACTCTCTCTGCTGAAACAGATGAAAATATGCCCAGGTTGAAGCAAATCTCTTGCATGAGTAAATTTTGCCCATATGGCAAAGTAAAAAAAAGACAAGACTTAAAAAAGCTGAAAACAAAGCCAAGCAGGCTATTAAGATAGAAAGTACTGCACAATCATAGCCACAGATAGCGTGCAATACCTACTCGATAAAAGGAGCGTAGGTGTTAATACAGCTATTGAACAATAACAAAAAAAACCCCAAGCATACACAAACTGAAAGACAGGTGTGTATGTGCCTAGACATTCAAACGTGAAGCAACTACCAGGAAAGATGTAAACCAAAAGATTGATAATTTCTGTCTCCTATTCCTCCCCTACAGAATGAATGTAGCTCTGTAACGCCCAAAACTCTGAGCTGGTTAGCTGCTGACTTCCGAGCCAAAGACATGGTGAAGAAAATACCCGAATGTCCAGCTTTCGATGCAGATTGCTGCAGTTTCCACGTTTTTTATGACATTTTGCGAAACGTGAGAAACGATATAGAATCGATGTGTGGTAAGAATGTAACTCGGTTTGTTGATGCAAATATCAATCAGCTAACTGTGACATTGAGTGAACGAGCTGCACTTTACACCTGCAAGAACAAGGACCTCCCACAGATGGATCATAGCCAGGTCCAGAACATGGAAACAGCAGAGAAGAAGACGTACATCTGGTGGGTTTTACAGAAATATGAACAATTTATGCAAAATACAACAAAAATGTACTCTTCAGCAGAAATGTAATATGCCAGGATGAAAAAACAACTTTAAGATACTAGAGGCTTGACTAAACGTGTAGTATGTGATCAGTTTGATGCCAGGAACAACATTGATAATGTTCTTGCTATTCTACATATTATAACTATATAATCTAGTTTAATTTAATGTTTAAAGGACTAATGTCTTAAGTTATTGATCCTATTTATTATAAAACTATTTATACTGTTTTATTTGCAACAGCATATAAAAAGGATGGACTAACGTAAGTCAGGGTGATTTAATTAACCAATCATGACACAAATAAGCAAACAGGAAAGCATGATTTCAGTAATTTAATGTTATTTATATCTTGCAATTATTTTTCAGAAAAGTTGATTGTCAGTAGACTGATTTTCTGCCAGTGAATTGTATTTATGATTTTACATAATACATCTATTTTTATAAATTTATTTAAGCAATTACATAGTTTACATATATTTATTCAGATTTTTAACTTTTATATTTTAATACTGAAAGGGACGAATGATATATTTGCTACTTAGTAGGTGAATGGTTTTACTCATTTTCTGTCATTATGTTTGGATAGAACCTGGAATTTAATTAAAATGAGATTAAATAAAACTAATATTGCTGGATTCTCTTTTTACTACATATTCTTTTTTACAATATTTTTTGCACTGAAAACCTAGTGTTTTGTTAAACAGCAAACTGAACTAGTTGTTTCTGGTCCATATGTTAAAGATATTAGAAACAGCACATATCCTCCTTTCCCATCCATTTTTATTCATAGACGTGAAGCAGTTTTGTTTCTTAAGTTCCTAACTGGTTTCTTGTTTGGGTGGACCAGTGGGTAAATTGTTTTCTAATCGGCCCCCGCTTCTGAAGGTTGAATTATTGTGGCTTCTGCAACACAGCTCCAGAGTCCAGTTTAGATTTACAAGTTTTCATGGTTCACGGCCAGCACCAGCTCTGCTGAAAACATGCTGGATTCGCTCAGACACAACCACCGCACCGAAACATGGCTGAGCTAATTACCACTCCTGGAGCTGGTAACAGAGCAAAGGCACTCAAATGGTCTGGGAACAACAGGACTTGTTTGTCCTTTATTTTGTATCAACTCCTGATTATCCCAAATAATGGGAAGGTTAATAACAATACAATTATTTTAGTCTAAATTACCATACAAAGTTCAAGCCAGTCTAAGCATTAGAATCAGTTCCAAAATTAACATTATTTATCCATTAAAAAATCGGTTCCAAAAATTATTTATCTCTATAAAAAAAATAATTTGACTTGAAACGCCCACTTAAAACACAAGTAAAGGATTACTCCTTTCTGCTGCTATCCTGTGTTCATTGATGGTGATCCATACCAGCACACAGCCCTGTGCAGGCTTGACTTTGCTCAAAGTACTCAGATTTGTGTTCAGAATGTCCAGGGAATTGCAGCTGGATTGAGCCCCTGCGTCCCAGTGGCACCAGGGCTCCTTCTCTGCGAGGCTGTGAAAAGCCCAAGAAGAGCTGGAGCAAGGGATTTTGGTACCAGTTCATCTCCTCCATCCTCCTTTCAGATCCTCTCAATGCAAAATACATCAGTGCCCAACTCACCCTTCTGCTGTGGTGGTTCTTCAAGACAGTGCTGTTAGTGCCGATGCAGCTGTAGCTTTTCTTCCTCCCGTTGCTGGAGAAACGTTGTGGCCCTGTACTCCCCAGACTCCTCCAGGAAGAGTGGTTTCTTGACATCAACTGAGTCACT